TGAGCCACAGGCGCCGAGCCAAATTCTAGGAGTTTAAACTTCCTTGAATTCTGAAGGTATGAGCTCTCCTGAGTTCAGAAATTCTCAGTTCTCTGACTTCTGGAATTCTCACTTTTCTAATTTCTCAGATTTTCAGCTCTGTGATTTTAGAATGCTTAGTTCTCCTAATTTGGGATACTAAGTTCTGAGGCCTTGAGTGATGGGTTAGAAAATGCCTTGGAATTAAGAGTTTGGGGTAGTTTCCCCTTCCTCACAGAAGCTTCTCCTTCCCCTCTAACCTTTCACAGGCCAGATCTATGGGGACATAATGTACTTCCTGACAGAGTACAAGGACGGATTCCAGCATGGGGAGCTGGGCCATCCCCTCTACTTCTGGTTTTACTTTGTCTTCATGAACTCCCTGTGGATCGTGCTGCCTGGAATCCTTGTGTTTGATTCTGTGAAGCAGCTAACACATGCCCAGAGTATGCTGGATATGAAGGTCACAAAAGCCAAGAGTAAGAAGAATTAAGAAGAGGTGGACTAGACTCTAACACTAGCTAATCAGGAGCTCTCCAGCTGCAAGAAGAGTCCAGTCCTGCTCCCATAGGTTCCAGGGACAAAGCTAATTGATATGTCAAATTCAGGCTAATGGGTCAGAGCTGGGAAAGAAAGGAGCCATGTAAAGGTATAAGAGAAGCCAGGGGGTCTAGGATAGTGGCAGTTTTTAAAATCGGGATATTGCAAAAAAGAAAAAAATAGTGTTCAGAAAATAAAATAAAATTTGGAAATAAAAGATTTTGATTGTAACACCGAAGAGATCTTCAGTTACTAACCCAATAAATGTACTATAACTGACTCACAGACCCCACCATCACTTACTACACAAATACCATAAATCACCACCCAGACACTATTATTGCCCCCCCCAAGTCCTTTTGTCTTAGCTTAGGCTGCTGTAACAAAAATGCTACAACAGAAATTTATTTTTTTCACAGTTCTGGATGCCAGAAGTCCAAGATCAAGGTACCAGCGGGTTTGGTTTCTTCTGAGGCCTTTTTTCTATGGTTTTCAGGTAGCTTCCTTCTCACTAGTCTTTCCTCTTATGATAGAAACTATACATTCATGCCCCTGGTACCTCTGTGTATCCAAATGTTCTCTTACAGGGACACCAGCCAGATTGGATTAGGGCCTATTCCATCAGGCTCATTTTAACTCAATCAACCCTTTATAGGCCCTATCTCCAAATACAGTCACATTAACTAAAGGTTAGGGCTTCACCATAGGAATTCCATGACACACAGTTCCATCCTTAACATTCTGTATGCCTTATGGTCTCCAAAACTTTGTGTCCTTCCTGCGTGCAAAACACTTCATCCCCTTCTCAGCAACCCAATTCTTTTTTTTTTTTTTTTTGAGACAGAGTCTCAGTATGTCACCCCATTAGAGTGCTATGATGTCACAGCTCACAGCAACCTCAAACTCTTGGGCTTAAGCGTTTCTCTTGCCTCAGCCTCCCAAGTAGCTTGGACTAACAGGGCCCGCCACAATGCCCGGCTATTTTTTGGTTGTAGTTGTCATTGTTGTTTGGTAGGCCTGGGCTAGATTCGAACCTGGCAGCCCCAGTGTATGTGGCTGGTGCCCTAGTTGTTGAGCTACATGTGCTAAGCCAGCAACCCAATTTTTTTTTTTTTT